AGTTCAACTCCATTATATGCAAATATAATTCAACTCTACCATATAATAAGTCTAAGTTATTTGTTATGTTTCGTTTAGAAACATCGTCAAGTACTGGAATCCGGGATTCGAGATCTGGAATCCGGGATCTGCTCACTTAGGCTGAGCTCTTGTCTTCTCAGACTTAATCTTTTAGGCTGAGATCTTATCTTCTAGGATCTGGGATCCGGGATCTGGAATTTGGGATCTGCTCACTTAGGCTAAGCTCTTGTCTCCGCGGACCTACTCATCTAGGCCAAGATCTCGTCTTCTAGGATCTGGGATTCGGGATCTGGAATTCGAGATTTGCTTACTTAGGCTGAGCTCTTGTTCTCTCGGACCTACTCATCTAGGCCGAGATCTTGTTTTCTAGGCACCAGTTTTGGTTGCTGGTGCCGGCATGTCTTGTAATAGGGATGTCGGCTGCATCATGTTGTTCTGCATCATGAGGTTGACCATTGTTTGTAGATCTGTCAACTTATTTTCCATGTCTTGTAGTTGTCTCGTCTTTTCTCCAGCATCTGTCCCTCCATACCTGAAGGTTGCTTTTACGGTAGTACTTATCTCGGCCTACTTTCTTCGGTGTGTCTCCCTTTTGGCGGATGCTATTCTCCTCAGGATTCTGATCCCGTGCTCCTTCATTACGGTTTTCTTCTTCCACGTTTAGATTGGCAAGTTTACCACCCCCACTAGGGATGTCGTCCCCAATCTTTTCTTCCTGCTCATTGTTGGCCATCTATTCTCCTTAAGTTCCCACAGAGGGAACCAAATTGTGGGTGTTGATTTTCGACCACACAACCAAAAAGGGGAACTCAGCTAGAGAGCATTGGCAGAATAGATTAAGCCTGAACAACCTGTCACAGAAATATAAGAATCCTGTGGTGGTTTGTCCACCCAGGGGCACTTCGACGATCAAGTCAGTAAAATATCTCTCAAAGATAACCAATAGTGCTTAACTCACTAGACAAAGCATAAAAAGCATACCTTAGACCCATGAGGGTACACCTAGTCCCAATAGAAGCTTTGCTTAAATGGACTGTGGATTACTGCTAATCTTGGACTCCTAGTAGGATTGGGAAAAACTTTTTAAGAATCTTATCTTTATCCAAACTGAAGTCCTCTCCCAATCTAGGGCTTTAGTCATCTATCCAAATAGATAGTTTGATGTCATCTAGGACTCTAGTCCTCTATCCAAATATCTCAGATTTCGATATTATCGCACCATATCTCGGCATCATGGTCCGCCCACGTGATACCTCGGCTAACAACCTCGGCCACATGGACTACTCAAAAATATGTCCCCACAAAAACTATTTTCAAAACTCATAACAAAACAAATTTTCTCTTTTCAAATCATAATTCAAAAACTCACAAATTCAAATTACAACTCCACACTCAAATCATAATTCTAAAATTAAATCAAATGCTACCTTAATTTTTACAAATGAGATTTACTTTTAAAAAAATAAAGATAAAAAAAAAGCCCCCTTTTGTTTACCGTCTTTCCCCAAACTTACCTTTTTGAACTGGTAAGAGCATCCCCAACTGATGCCTTAAAATAGCTTTTTGCTATTATAAGGAATTGATTCTTCAAAAATGCAACCTCATCAGATCTCTTATATGATCCCTTAAATTTAGAATTGCTACAATGACTCCCTATTTGTAGGGAGTCATTGAAGCTCCCCCTTATATCTAATAATTTCATATTGTATTTCGTTGAAAACGCTAACACAGTATCCCAGACAAGGGACCGGATGTCCAGGGGGTTAACCGGCTAGACGTCCGGCCAGACGATCGGCTGGAGATCCGGACGGATAACCTCACCTCTGTTTAAGAGAGAACCTTTGTTCCAAGGGGTTGAACGCAGTGGATTGTTGAATGGTTTTGGGTTTGAATTTGGAGGTGTTTTTGGTGGATTGAGTTGAAAGTGTGGGTATTCAGAGAAGGTCTCGACCACCATGGGCTTGGAGGGGATCATCTTCACCAGTTCAGCAAACTTAAGCAATATAAGAGGTGTGACAGTCAAGAATAGGGGCATAACCATTTCCAATTTGTCTAGGGTGGTTCATGATGATGACTTGAGAAGTGAAGTTAGCAGCCTCCTTGGCAGGATCGTCCTTTGAGTTTGAAGCCACAAATCCACATTTCAGATCCTTCACAGCAACATTCTTGACATTGAATCCAACGTTGTCACTAGGCAGGGCCTCCAGAAGAACTTCGTGGTGCATCTCCCTCATTAATTACCATATATATATATATATATCCAAGAGCAACATTACCAAAGTCACCACAAACTTGTATATATAAAAGATGGGTTTGATTTGATCAGATCAAACTAGAAAGTAAAGATATGGAAGGGAAAATGAAAGAAGAAGATCTGGGATTCGGGATCTGGAATTCGAGATTTGCTTACTTAGGCTGAGCTCTTGTTCTCTCTCTGTTTGGTAAAGCTTTAGAACGTTAGTTCTAGGTTTTGATTTGCACACCGTGTTTGTTTACGGTTTTTAAAAATTAATTTCATACTCACTTTTGAAAACTCTATCCAATGTGGGAAAATTTGGGCTAATCCGTCGTCTCACCGGTCATCCGGTCGGTTGACCGGAACAGTGCATTATTATTAAATTTTTTTTTTTTTTTTTGCAGTTGACACATGTTCATTTTTATATATTCAATAAAAAATATTTTTCGAATTTTTAAAAAAAATTTATGAGTTTCGAATATAATTTTGAGTTGTGTGTTTGGTTGTAAGTTGTAAATTTTTGTATCAAATATCATATGTCACATAAAAAACTCCACACTCAATTCAAAAATCTTTTAAAAACTCATTCACTAAACAAATTTTTCACATTCAAATCTTAATTTAAAAATTCATAAATTAAAAATATAATTTTATTTTCAAATCATATTTAAAAATTTCTATCAAACGCAACCTAAATCAGAAAATGATTCTTAAAGTAGGAACGAATTTTTAATAATATTTTATGACAAAATTTAGGTAAACTCGTTGGATGCTCTAACCCGCAACTACACGTTCTCCTCCTTCACTCTCTACGAAACCCTCTCTTTGACCTCGATCCCACTCCCACCCACCAACGTGACAATCTTCTCCCTTCTGCAACAATCCGTGACACTCCAGCGAAGTTGCAACTTCTCCATCATTGTTCTTTGCAACTCCATCTGAACTCTACTTGAAGGTATGAAGCGCGCTCTCTCCTCTATTTAACTCGTTTCTCTCCCCTTTCTTCACCCCCCCCCCCACCACCCAACCCAATCTGTGAAACCCTAGACCAAAACCCATTTTGTAAACCCCAATTCCGTTCAAAACCCTATTTCCCCTCTGTGAACTTCCTCTTTGTAAACCCTGATTCCTTTTCCAATATTTCGAAACCCTCATTTCTCTATTGTGAACTCCCTCTCTCATCTCTGTGAACTCTCCTTAGGGTGGATTGGTTTTGTAAAACAAGGAAATTTTGATGTGAATAGTTGTTGTTTTTTTATTTTTTTTTTTTTTTTTTTTTTAAATTTTCTTTCATGTGTTGTTTGAATTGGTGGTTATTTTAGTCATTTAGATGTTAACTATGTGAACTTGAAATTTGTATTTCTTATCTATTGAGATTTGTTGCTTTCTAAACTACGCATTTTCCTTCGCAAAATCTGATGTTTTATATTTCGTAATATGAGAGTGAAAATGGTATGAGAGTACAAAGTTTATGATTTTTTTTATTGATTTACGCCATGATTTTGGTAGCATAGTCTTAATGCTGTCTATTCCATGGTTTATTAAATTATCTGTGTTTTAAAATATTAGATGAAATGAATCAAAAATCTTGAGCAACCAACAAGTGTTGAGAACTTAAACATGAAGGGTGTGTTTGGATTGATTTTGAGAGATAAATTTTCAAAAAAAGTTTTGGGGAGAGGTTTTAGAATTTTTTTTTGGTTTGTCTGGTTGTATATTTTAAAGACAGTTTTGGAGTATGGGAGTTTGTGATGATTTGATATTTTGTTGTAATTGAGTAGATGTATGTGAGAAAAAAAATGATTGAAAATGAGAGAGGAGAGAGAAAATGTGATTGATTGATGTGTAAAAGAGAGAAAGTAATTTTGAAATTTTTTTTCCAAAATCACTAAACCAAACAAAATTTTGAAAAATTTTCTCCAAAATTACTCCCTCAAAAGCAAACCAAACAAGGCTGAAGTCTTTCAATAGTTTTGAGTTTTGTTTTCTCCCTTTCCTTAAGTCAATTGTAAATGATTTTAGGAACATCTTTTGTCTATGATATATAATTCAACAAATTCCTTGAACAATTTTGGAGGAGCTTACAACCATATTTAGACTAGAAGCCTCAACTACATTCAATCTTTGCATGAAGCAAACTAATTTGAACAATGAATTAAATTCTAATATGACATACAAAAATTGAGGAAACTATTTGAAATATAATTTACCACTTTTGATTTTGTTACTATATATATATACTAGCATATGCCCGTGCCTAAAGGCACGGTGTAAATAATATTAAGATTAAAATGCAGTTATAAAAATATATTTAACAGACTGTACTCTACAATTCCAAACAAATCAAATATAAAAAAAAATTAAATATCAAATAATGCACACCAGCCAGTGCTCTGCCTAAAGACCTACCGTATGCCCGTGTCTAAAGGCACGGTGTAAATAATATTAAGATTAAAATGCAGTTATAAAAACATATTAAAATATTTTTCTTCTTAAAGAACTTGTAACAATTTTGTTTGTATTACATGCTCTACAAAATTCAAATAAAATAAGTCCTCTAATCTTAATGCAAATTAAGAAACAAACATATCAGATTTATAATGTTTACCAATATTGCAAATCAAAATATAAGAGCAAGTTTAAAATAAAAAAAAAAATTGTAATATAGCAGAAGCTTAAAAATTGTAATATATCCCTAGCTTAAAAATTGTAAAATAAAAATTTCAATCAAAGAAGACAGCTTAAAAATCCTTCTGTAATATAGCAGAAGCTTAAAACAAAAGTTGGCCATTGAAAACAAAAGAGGCAGCACTTCAACTGCAATTTCAAATCTCACTGTGATTGGAGATCGCCAACCAATCAATATTCAAGGAGTTAAAGATAAGATAGACTGGACACATACAAATGACCAAAACATTAATCCAGTATTTCCTTTTATTTTAACAAATACCTGAACAGTTATAATCTCTTTTCTTCAAACAATTGCTGGATATGAGTATCCTAACAATTGTTAAATGCAAAGCAAAATAGTAACCAACAAACTCAACTTCAGAGAAAGTTTCGGATGTGTAATGACTTCACATCAACCATCTCCTCATCCTTAAATTCCTCCCTGAAATATATTGAAAGCATTCCATCAATTAACCATAAAAAAAAATCATAATAATAATAATAATAATAAAAATAAAAATAATAATAATAATAATAATAAAAAATAAATAAATAAATAAATAAAAACTGTATACAATAAATGTTAATGGTGTACACAAATGCATAGTAATTGAAGGGGAACACTAACACACTGGGTATACATGTTAATGATGACAGACTGACAGTGTTAGAAAGGATGTTAATTATCTAATAGTCCCTCCAAAATTTTGTGGCACGTTTGGCTACCGAATTATAGTCGGTATATAATTAATCATTAGCGACCAAAATTGAAATAGTCGCCCAAACCCAATCATTTCCACGACCATTGTACAATTAGAAGCCAAAAATTAAATAAATACGAATTAAACAAATTATATAGTTATTTTTCGCGACGAACATCATATTTAGTCGCCGAAAATTATATTTTTAACGACTAAAACCTAGTTAGTCGCTTCAAAATCATTAGTGAGTGAGCAACAAAAAGAAATAAAAAAATGTTAGAAATGTTTGGTTAACAATTGTTCCATGTATCAATTTACACCCCTAGAAAACAAATCCAAACAAATAATAAAACCCCTTTGAACCAATAGGACAATTAATTAGTGCTGCCAATCATAACAAATAACTCTTTCAAAATCATTAGTGAGTGAGCAACAAAAATAAAATAAAAAAATGTTAGAAATGTTTGGTTAACAATGGGTCCATGTATCAATTTACACCCTCATAAAACAAATCCAAACAAATAATAAAACCCCTTTGAACCAATAGGACAATTAATTAGTGCCGCCAATCATAACAAATACCTCTTTCAAAATCATTAGTGAGTGAGCAACAAAAATAAAATAAAAAAATGTTAGAAATGTTTGGTTAACAATGGGTCCATGTATCAATTTACACCCTCATAAAACAAATCCAAACAAATAATAAAACCCCTTTGAACCAATAGGACAATTAATTAGTGCCGCCAATCATAACAAATACCTCTTTCAAAATCATTAGTGAGTGAGCAACAAAAATAAAATAAAAAAATGTTAGAAATGTTTGGTTAACAATGGGTCCATGTATCAATTTACACCCTCATAAAACAAATCCAAACAAATAATAAAACCCCTTTGAACCAATAGGACAATTAATTAGTGCCGCCAATCATAACAAATACCTCTTTCAAAATCATTAGTGAGTGAGCAACAAAAATAAAATAAAAAAATGTTAGAAATGTTTGGTTAACAATTGGTCCATGTATCAATTTACGCTCCCAGAAAACAAATCCAAACAAATAATAAAACCCCTTTGAACAAAAGGACAGTTAATAAGTGCTGCCAATCATAACAAATAACTCTTTCAAAATCATTAGTGAGTGAGGTGAGGTGTGGTGTGGTGTTCAATGGATATTGGGGTAATATCAGCTTAATTATTCTTCTTCATTATTCTTCATCTCTTCTTTTTCCACGATTTGCACCAGCAGATTGACCACCATATACATATAAGTAATGAAGCTCTCTCTCTCTCTCATTCTCTCTTTCGGCTGCTTCCAGAGCACCCTTGCATCTCCCTTTTTTATTTCATTTCTTTCTTTATTTCATTCTCTCCCTTGAGTAAGTAAGGTCTCCAACAAACATACACCCATTCACTCATCACACTACACACGTGCACATTCTAGATATTTATTTAATTTAATTGATGATTAGAATTAACTTTAATATATAATTATCCATTAATTTTATTAAACACAATTTGATCTTAAGCAGATTGTAAGCCCCAAATTATAAAATGTATAATTATAAAATGTAGAATTAACTTTAATATATAATTATCCATTAATTTTATAAAATGTATAGATTGTAATTAACCTGAAATGTATCTCACAAATGTAAAGTTTTCAGCCTAAACTTTGGGATATTTGCTTCAGCATGAATGCCAAAAGATCTACATTGGCATGACTGAAGAGAGCTATAATGCAAAATGATAAGCTAGCACATTATTTATGTTAGCCAAAAGGCAAAGCAACAATTTTATGTCTCAATAGAATTTTTGACAAAGATCATGCATTACTTGTCATCAGCACAGTTTCAACAACAATAACAGAATCCAGAAACCATATGGTCGTGCACAAAAATGATGGTTCTAGATACAAATTACAATAAATAAAATGTAATCTTAATCCAATCAATGGGAGAAAACTGCGAATTAGACAATTTCAAGACCATAGGAGAGGAACGTTCTGTATGATAAACATATGAACATATGACAATTTAAATAAATATATTTCAATAAATATATGACCATAGGAGAGGAACGTTCTGTATGATAAACATATGAACATATGACAATTTCAATAAATAATTTAATAAGCACTTTGTATGATAAACATATGAACAACCTACCTTCTGCATAGAAGAATTAGAGGAACGTTCCTTTTCCCCATCTTTTCAAGCATTTTCCGGCATCTTGCCTAATTGAATAAGACTGATATAAATCATATTAGTCAGCAATTAAATTAACTTTTTGTAGAAGGAGAAAATAGAACAAACAAATAGCAAGCCCCAAATTAAGCCCCAAATTACACAGATTGTAAGCCCCAATGAACCCAATTTTAAACCCAAAAAATGTATGTATTCATGAAATGAAGGAGAAGAACAAAGAGAGAAGGGGAAAAAATATCAAACCCAAATCACACCAATCAAACCGAAATCACACCGATTTGACGATTCACATTCGGCAGATCCATCAGTTTGGGCACAGGAGGGGGACGGTGCAATGAAGAACGGCGAAGGCGGAGGAGGAGCAAGAAAGGAGGCAGCGATCTTCTTTGAGGATGAAGCGGAAAAGTAATGAAAGAAAGGAAAAGATAAATGCATAAGTTTTATGGACCATGATAGTTAGAATCCAATAATCAACTCTTGCAAGAGAGGTAAGGTTCATTATGTCCCCATCTCGGTTTTGGATTATCAATATTTCCTCTCGTGCCGCCGAGGTTTACCAAAAAAAAAAACTAATCAACTCTACGAAAGTAATCAAGAGATCTGTTTCTTTCCAACTGCATGAAATTATATACTTTTATGATTTGGAATTGGCTGCTAAGGTTATTTGTTTATCAAAAGTAAATATCTAAAATTAGGAAATAAAATGACATGTGGCAACCATGATGTTTTGACTTTCAACCACAAGACTGGGGATCAAAATGGCATGTGTTGAATCAAGCATTTGACTGCAAGATACTATAAATGTTCTAACAGGCTGGCCAATTTTGTTCATTTTGAAGATTTCCATATGAGAATAAAAATTCTACTTCAGGTTTATAGTCTGAAACAAATTGATAATTGATAAGAGTCTAAAACAAACAATAGTTCCAAACATTAAAAGCACAAACAACAGACCTAATCTCAAAATATTTTCCATCTTGATGCCCCTGACTCCGTAGGTCATCCGTAACTGAGAAGTAAGAATGGTAACATATATCCATAAAATCCCTCACAAAAGTAAAGCTCTGTTTGACAGTGTCAGAAGTTCCATCCTACAGCATTAATAGTTAGGGAATTTATCAGCATCAAAGGCAACAAAGATTCAAAGAACATCGAATTTTAAAAACATTAATAGTTGGGACATTTCAAACATACATAAATATAGTGGTAAAATTTATCAGTCTTCCCTTCATTGACAGCTTTAAAAGTGGCAAACATCGCTGCGAGAAAGCCATATGCAGCGCCACCAATAATACTTTCAACAATGCCAATGGATGGCCACAAAATCAAAAAAACAGAAATGAATAAACACAGAACAAACTTCAAAACTGGCCCAAACTGCTTAGATCTGTCATCAAAGAAGTGAGAAAGCAATCACTACACGCTAGAGAAGATAATTGGGTCAAGAAATGATATATGGATATTGAGGAGTCCAATAACACACCTTACAATGCAATAATTTGTCCACAAAAAGTGAACAGACCAGAGACCCAAAATTAGTGCAGAGTTTCCAATTGTCATAATAAGGCATATCGGCAGGCAGAAAATGATACCTGAAATAAAACTTCAGTATAAGCCTAATCACATTTTCCAGGATTATAGTCATCCCTCCACACACAAATTTCCAAGTTCACCAAATTAACATATTCACAGACTCAACATTGATGAATCTATATTTAATTAATTAAAGTACATACACATTATCTCTCCTTCAAACAGAGCCCTTGCCATTTGTAGAGCAGTTATTGTGCTTTACATGGCAAGAACTAACTATTTAAAAAAATTTTCTTTAAAAAAAAAAAAAAAAAAAAAAAAACAGAGCATGGAAATAAATAAATAAAACAACCCAATGGAACCCAATGGAACAAATACCTAACGATTAAGAGTTCAAAAAATTCTTAGAATCTTAACCTAACAGATTCAGAAAATTAATAATGCATATAAAATTCTTAGAATCTTAACCCAACAGATTCTTAGAATCTTAGATGGAGAGATACAAAAAAAAAAAAAAAATTTGACAGGAAGTAGAAGCCATCGAAACCATCACAAAACATCACAGATTCTTGGGCAAAGACACACACTCATACCATCTACTATTGTCAAATTTTAGTTCCAAAACTGAATCTAAATTCATCATGTGGACTGCGACCTTTTACCTTATGTATTTCGAACCTTCTTGTCGGGGATGACGGAGTAGGGCGTCGGCGTCGGCGGGGCGGGACGACGATGCCCTCCTCTTTCTCTCCTCTCACTGAATCGAAGAAGGTATGGGTTTGTTGCAAAACAAAGGCCTAAAATGGGGAAGGGGGATGAAGGAGCGGGAGATGAAGGGAGGAAGACAGGAATAGAGGGTTCGAGTTTGGGTCTCCGGCGAGGGAGAGGAGAGGTGGTTGGTGGTCATTGCAAGAGAAGAGAGAGATGTATTATGAAAGAGAGAGATGTATTCAAGAACAGAGAGGGAGAGGGAGAGGGAGATAGAAAGGGAAGGTGGGGAGGCAAACGTGGGTAGGTGGAGAGAAGTCTTGGGCGGGAGATCTTTTCATCTGAACCATTGATATAAACTTGGAATTAATCTTAGCCATTGAATTAAAATGTATCTCACACACATTTTATACATTTTCAAAAACCTTCCTCCCTTATTATATAGATATATATGTATATAGATTTTAAGTACCTCTCGACATGTTTGTGTTTGTGTGTACTTGTGTCTTTTGCTTCATTCTTATTTGTTGAGACCTGATTAGATATGTTTATTTTCTTATTATAGTAGACACATGTTTGTGTTTTATTTTGCTTGCTTGCTTGCTTTTGCCATGATCTTAACTTTCTTGCAATGCAAAAATCATCCATATTGTGATAAGTTTGGAAGAAATAATAGAGGAATCTAGAAGTGAAACCAAAAAACATGTGCCTTTATGCTAAGATGTATTAGGGCACTAATTTAATATTAAAAACAACAACCTTAAAGTTAATATGGGAATTTGGCGTTATAATTGATATGTGGACTTAACTTGTGATTTGAGAGAGCTGACACTGGTTTCCAACTTTGTAATTAATTGATTTAAAGTTTTTTTCATTTTCTATAGCTTGCATAGGGACGTCTATTTATGTTTCTCATTTTTTCATTTGTTACTGTGTTGTTGCATGATATAGTACTTCTTGTCCATGGTGCTTTTAGGTTTTGGTTGGCTATAATAGTCCCTTTTTTCAGTCATAGTTGCATATTTTAGGACTAGATGAGAACTATACGTAAATTCAATATCACTATTCAGACAACCTTTTATGTTTTGATTGGTCCATCTGAGAACCATTTCTAATTTTGAGACCACTATTCTGTAATGTTGTTTGTTTTAAGCTTAATGCTAATTAAATAGTGTTTAAATAATTTTAATGGACATTCGTAGCCATCCTCTGAGGTTTAAGACCCCATAGATCACATTGTGAACTCTTTCAATCCTTAGTTTCATTTGGTTGGCTGAGAGTTTCAGCCTGCCTTCCACCGAGTATAAAATTTTTTATAGTTGCTTAACCTGCTGACATACCAGCGATGGGAATTATTGTTTGTGTCACGTCTTTGAATTTGAGAGGGGACTTTCCTACTATCTCTCAAAATGGGCATTGAAGTGATGGAGTGAGAGAATGAAACAAAAGATGTGGGTTTCATTGACCAAACTACCCAGGTTATTTACTTTTTCCATTTCTTCTTAAGGTGGTAATTGTTACAATTCTATGTTCAAGAAGTTATCATTTTGAGTGGTCAGCTGTCCTAGTTAACAATTATGTATATTTTTTTTGATGTTATGATTAAAGGCTTGGGATGTTTATGATGAGGCTTAAGAAACTTGTACATTCCACACGAACCTTTCAAGAGCCTTTGAGGCACTTTGACCACTTCTAAAACTCAAAAAAAAGACCTTTGCACCAAATTTCCAGCACATTGCCTACACAATAGTCCACTTATAAAACTCATATCCCTTGAGAGTATTTTCAACCACTGTAAAATTTATACAGCACCTAGCCTCATGTGTTATCTTTATTTTGACATAAGATGGGCCACTTTTGACTTAAAATCAATGGAGAATTTCCTATTTTAATAAGCTCAGGACAGATTTTGACCCATTGTCATTGGTGGGTTTTTTTTATTTTATTTATCAAATATCATTCGAAACACAATGAATTCATGCACGATCAATGGGGTTAGAAATCAGACTCAATATATTATTTTGGGAGGTGTTAGAAATTAGACTCAATATATTATTTTTGGAAAGTTTCAAAAATTTTCAATGAAGCAATTGGGAGAAAATGAATTTCAAAGTCAACACCTCAAATTCCTTTTTGTCCAAAATGACAAATGTGTACATTTTAGAGTTAGAACCATACTTATTCAAAATTTGACTAGTTGACGCCTATGCCATAAAAAAATAGACTCATAAGAGCATCCGCATCAGTCTCAGCAAATTTTGAGTCAAATTATAAGCCATTTTCATATTTTAACTAGTCACCTATTGCATCAAACTCTCTATTTTAACTCAATCTTATTAAAATATTTATTATTCTTTTTTTTATATAATTAAATTGATGACCTATCAACTAAACAATTTTTATGTTTCACAAAAGATAAAACTGGAGGAACTGTAAAATAAAAAATAAAAAATAAAAAAAATAAAAAATAAATAAATAAATAAAAATTGCCATTGACCGGTTGACCGGTGGGTTGACCGGCCGAATGTCCGGGCAGACGTCCAATTGCACCCAAATCGCGTGTTGTAGCGATGAACAGTTCCTCATTTCATCAGACGAGTTACTGTAGTAAATTTAACAAAAAGTTAATTTAACAAAAATTTGCTGAGACTGATGGAGAAAGGATTTGATGATTTGTTATTTATATTTCAATTTTTTGTTAATTTAAAGATACGGATGCTGATACTCTAATGGAACACTGCCACCAAATTTTATGATTTTTAAATTAGAGACTAAGAGATGAATTTTTAAAGTTAAAGGTTCTGCAGTGACAAGCCTTCTTTCTTTAATACATTAAATACTTGTCTCCTTGGCTTCAGATTTCCAGAGAAGATTGGCAGAAACTTACCCGGTATTCACTATATTCGGGATGTTGCATATGCTGATTCGCTGATTTCACCACCGGTAATTTTCGTTTGTTGTACATATCATTTATCTATTTATCATCTATCTATTTATCATCTTTTGGTTGTCAACTTAATTCTACACTCTTCAGGTTAATAATATGGTGAAGCAGCTAATGTTTCTTTTGTAAGACTCTGCAAACACACCCATGTTAACTTGTATTTGACAATAACCTAATGGTGAATGCTATGATTTGCTTTTGGAAGTATCTAGATCTTTGCTTTTTCTTCTTTTCTGGTTGTAAATTAGGGGCTGTAGAGGGGATTTTGTCACACAGTGGTTTTCATTTTCTAGGAGAAAGCACAGAAGGTGGTTGTTGTTGGGGGTGGTTACAATGGCATGGAGATTGCTGCTGCAGCTGTTGGTTGGAAACTTGATACAACGTTATGTCTGTGTTTCATCATCGTTCTGCTATGTTAATATTTGAGATGGTAATTTTTTATTCGTGCCAAAAAGAGAGATGGTAATTTTTCATTGATCCAATATCTGTAACAGACTGACAAATTTTTGGCAATTCATACCCCTGTAAATTTATTAGTAAAATTTTATTCTTTAAAATTTGTGATTTTCAATGTCTACTCTTTCTTTCTTTCCTTCCTTTTTCTTTTTGAGTTTTTGGTTGTACTAGATGGCCCTTCTATTATGTATTTTACGTGACCAGCATTAACATTCTTGTTTAATAATAGTTTTTTTCTCATGATTCTAATTTTTTGATGGCAAACACACCACATCTCTGACTTTGTAATTTTATAAAGATTCTTTTCATTACACCATTTACACCATATCTCATTTATCCTTTCTGAACAGAGCCGTGTTCCAACTGTTTGGAATTGGCTCCGTGACTGTACATCATTGTTGTCTTCTAGGGCCACATGCTTTATGAAGTCACAAGTCAAGATTAACCTGTATCAATTTCACTATCCACTTCGAAGCTTTGTCTTTTTTGGCCTCCCCCGTCTTGGCAGCAATTGAAGTTAATCACATTGATCTGTCTTGCTGCAACTGCTCATTGTCTTTGTGCACTTGCTGCCAGATGAATTTACTTAATTTCATTGATGTTAAAACTTGCATGTATGCTATATAATTTCTCAAGTTATGATATGATCTTATCTTGTGAATTGATGAGTTTCAACTAACATCTTCTATTGGAAAAAATTAGATCATATTTCCAGAAAATCATCTTCTGTGAAGATTGTTTACCGGGTTAAGGTTTTAGCGAAAATGAAATTACCCACATCGACTCCAACCGCACCAACTACATGCCTGCAGTCACTCAAGCTAGAGGGAGAGGAGGGAGAGAGAAGAGTGAGAGCAGCAAAGGAAGTACGTAAGGTAGAGTAGCAGAGGAGTGATGAAAGGGAATGCAATGAACATATCATCCTGCACATTGTTGTGACTTAAAGAATATGAGACACCAAAAATCAAGAACAGTATGTTATTGGAATTTATGCTTCAAAGCCACTCTTGCATTAGTATGTTGTTACATGTTATTTTTTTGATCGGCAAAGAAAGATTATATTCATGAGACAAAGAGGATACCCACAAACAGACTCCAAAACAGGGGCAGCCACAAACACAACAACCTCTAATTCTAAGCTGAATTTAATCTTGGATAATAACCTCTGATTTAATTATATATAATTCGTATAAACAATAGAATTCATATTAGTCAAGTTGCTCGATTTATGAAAACTCGTACATAAGCGTTGTCTAAATTTAATTTGGGTTAACCAAATATGAAATTACACTGTTGAAGACCTAAAAAATTTTGAGCTACACTGGTAATTCATATTTAAATCAATGTTGAATGAATAACGAACTATTTGATGCCCTTAATTTATTTCATGGAATCATTTGATGTCCTCAAACAATCGAAACAAAAAATCAATATCCAAAACCAAAAGCAAATTGCAGTAATTCATGTTGAAAAGGGAATAAATTTGAAAAAGTCAAAAAACAAACCCTAATAAAAAAATTTATCTAAAAAAACTACAAATCAAACTCCTACTATTCGTGGGTTCCGAACACACAGATGAAGAAAACCAAAGATAACAAGACAAAAAGTTCTATACCTTGGGAAAAATGTCCATGAGATTTATGTCCAAAACTGCACAATAAAAAACAAAGGAATGGTAATAAATTAGTGACATAATAGCTGAATTACAAATATGAAACCTAACAACAATAATAATATTATAAGGTTTTCTCAAATCCTTAACATCAGAACTTTTAACTCAAACCCAATAGCAATGAGGAGGTCGAGGAGATGGCTAGGGTTATAGATCCAATCAAAAAATCAGATATCTAATATACCCTTTTTAGAAACCCATTCAAAAACATATAGATTGTACGGGGACGAAATATCCACTGCTTTCCGTACTCCTTGTACTCTGAGCTTCTCTTGACGGCGTCCACTTGGCAACACAGAAACGGTGAGCTGCCCGGCGGTGGTGTGCCGGATAGACCCTTCGACGATCAAGTCAGTACACTTGAGGAAGAGAAAGAAGATTGAGAGAGAGAGAGAGTATTCTCTTTTTGGGAAGAAGTTGCATACCTCTCACGTTCGCCCTCCTCCCTATTTCAAGGCTGGCCATGCAGCCTCAAGATTATGCGCGCACTACCTCTGCTGTCCTTCCCAAGACAGGTGGCAGTACTCGCCTCTCACCACCTTACGCGTGTAAAGGCTCAGTCCTCCCAACAGTACACGCAGAACTGCCTAACGGTATTGAGGCATATGTGGAGCAGATGTCCCTTCCTTCGTGCCATTGGCCCAGGTGGCACACCTGACCGTAGTACCACGACCGGCCTATTTCCCAAGAAGAACTATCGCTACAGGCGCTCAACCACGCTATGCCCCACCGGATTGCCCCTTGGCAAAGGGGCGGCGGGGGGGACGCCCATGGACCGGGCTGGAGTTGACCGGTTCGTCGTGGCATACCGGTTGTGAGGCATGTCGGCCTCCGTTCGGTCTACCTTCATCCGAGGTTCTCTTGAATCTGCCCATCTCGGCTCACTGGTCAGAGACGTACCAAGCCTCGCTTGTCCATAGTTTAGCCCGAGCTATCCGTAGCCCGGTCTCGCCACTTGGCTGCGTGCACTGCCGGATATTTGCGAGTCGTAGCTCGGCCAGGCTTAGTTCACGCCGGGCAGCCAGTCTTTAAGACCGAGCAAAACAGATCTGTGCCGTCTTAGCTCGGCCGTACTAACGGTGCAAATCTCCCCTCTCAATTGCCCCTTAACCCCAACCGACCTAGTCGTGACTGCGGTTACCATCGTAACCGAGCTAACGGATGAGTTGCGCGATTACCAAGCCGAGCATGATTGGGGGCATATCTGTCACCGAGCTGTCACGTTTGGTCGGCCATTTCCTCCGCAGTCTCATCAAAGGTCGTACAGCCGTACTGACAGCCGCGTTTCCAGTGCCACGTGGCTTCACGCCACTGGGTCGTACTGCCAGCTGTTCTGCACCCGTAAAATTCAAACGGCGCAGCCGTTTGGGGTTCCTTCCCCCCTCTTTTGTATCCCAACGAAGGGCCTAAACCCTTCACTTTCGCCTTCTCTTCTACACAAGCCCTAAACCTCCCCAGCTTTAGAGCCACTGCCATTGCTGTTTGTGCCATATCCCCCATTTCAAATCCCTTCGAAGGCCACCATCGAGCTCTTGAGGTTACGTTCACCCTCGCGCCTGTCATTCTGGTAAGTCCTCCCACCCTTTCTTCAAGCTCTCGCACTTGAGTTCTTCAACTTTTTCACCTTTTTATGCTTCGTGTTCTCCATGTTTATTTTCGTTTATTTTCGGGGCCATTAGAGTTTCATTTCCTTGCTTAGATCTCGCACACCCTAGGGAAAACAAGAACAGTAGAGAAGGACGGGGCTTTCATGCCCCTTGTTCCTCCTAGGTTCGAACGAGTTCTTCTTATTTCTGGGATGAATAGTTTGAATCTGGGTAGAACCGAGCAAAACGCTCGTTTAGATCCATAAGTGACACATCGGCCGAGCAAAAACTGGTTTGTGACTTCTCGTAGAGGTTGTAGCCGAGCTAAACTTCCAATTAAAACTGGTAATAGTACTGAACCGAGTTAGCTCGTCAAGTAGATCCGACCGAGCTATGACTTTGACTGAGACAGCTTCGGAGAGTTAGAACCGAACTAGGAAATCGACCAAGTAGCATAACCAAGGTAGGGGTCGAACCGGCCAAAAACCAATAATCCCTTCACTGAGCCAATTCCCATAGGGGCCGCGCAATTTATGCCGTGCTAACCCTTGGAATTATTTTTTAATCATGCAGAACGAATAGGACCGACCAATCCAGTCCAGCACTAATTGGTGGAGCTCAAAGTCCGAGCAGACCCACCAACATTTTTGGCCGAGATACACACAATATCCAATAAGACCGAGATAGATGGGCAAGTACCGCTATATGGTCAGCTCGCCCGGTGCGATGGCCGAGTTTCGCAGGGATTACAACATCCCAGATGACGTCATCTTAGAGCTCGCCAAAAAGGGAAACACCCCTTGGGGAGATCTAGACCGGTGCCCCTTTACGGTCGTGTCAATAGTAGAGGGAGGTCTCTGCTTCCCGGTCCAGCCTTTGATTTGCGAGTTTTTGAGGCAGACGAGGCTTTGCCCGACCCAAATTTCAAATAACACTTACAAAATAATAAACGGGGTCGCCGAACTGAACCGGAGGCTCGGTCTAAATCTCGGTTTGGCTGAAATTTTCCATCAATATAGTCTTAGTAGAAATAAGAGTGGGTTCTGCTGGTACCTCAAAGTGAAGAAGGGTCGAGCAAAATTAATAGAGGGTAACCCGGACAAGGAGACAAACGACGACGACTTCCTGTGGGTGTCCAGTCGCTATGAAGACACCGAGGCACCCATTCCAGGATGGTATATTAGAAAGGATTTTGGTAGTGCCAGTGAGTTGCTCGGCTGAACGTGCTATTTTCTTTATGTAGCAATTATTTTTCATGCCGATCTAACACTTGTCTTCTTTTGCAGATAAGCACCTAGCAGCAGACTACTACCGGGCCGACCAAGAGGCCATCAGAGTCCTGCTGCGCCATCCGGCCGAAGAGAGGGAGGCTTCGAAATTGCTCGGCTTCGATCAGACCTACCATTACACCGCACCGCGCAGGAGCCGGGTTACCGATTTTCTGCGCGCGCCAACTCCGGAACCGGATCCAAACCTTCCACCGATCAGGCTTATTCCACTAACCGCGGAGCAGGAAATGGCGAAAATCAGGGCCATCAAGTCCTTGATCACCGGGGAAGAAGACGAGCCCCAGAACGTAGAGGCAACCGGTGGGACATCCTCCGCACCCGCCGTGCAGGGAGATGGGGCAGTGTTGGCGCTTGCCAGCGAGCAGCCAGCTGGTCGGTCCAAGAAGCGACCGAGGAACGAGAAAATCGGGCCGCGTCTGGCGGATGAAGACTTCACCGATCATATCTCTACCGAGCTCAGGGACCAGACCGAGCAACCACGGGCCAGCAAATCCAAGGGCCCAGCCCCCCCCGGTCTGGGCACCCGAGTTCAAATACCTCGGCCGAGCAGTTTCTGCTGAAGACTCTG